ACCTCGCTCGCCCCCCCACCCCCCGAATCCATGCGGGACATAGCGTGCAGGAAAAAGAATGGCGAGGAATGGCAGAATGAGCAGACAGAGGTGCGGCGAAATCTTAGAAAGAACGAAGACGAAGAAGAAGGCGAAGAAGAAGCGCTCCGGCGGCTCAGACAGGAACCTTTCCCCCCTTTCGAACCCCTCTTACTGCCTGCTTCCCTCTCACGTCCAAAACCCCCTCCCCCCCCCCCCGAATCCGCCAGCCGCGGCGCAACCGGAGGAAGAACGCGAGCAGGAAGGCCGGCGCAGACAGGAGCTGCGAAGCGAACTCTTGGAAAGAAGCAAACCGAAGCCAAAGACCTCCGGCGGCGTAGACAGGAGACGCGACGGGAAGAACAAAGAGGAAGACGAAGAGGTCCGATGAGAACGCCGGCAACAGAGGAGCGCGGCGTGGAGGACGAAGCAGGAGGAAAAGAGCGAGGAAAGCGGTTGGGGCGAGTAGGACGAGGACTGACCTGCAGCTCGAAGGCAGCCCAAATGCGAGGCGAAGAAAGCCGATCGGGGAGAAACCGATGCGCTTCACAATGGAGACCGAGGACAGCAGAAGCTAACGGATTCTTACCAAAACCGTGGTCAGAAGCTGGAAGCGAAGAGGTAAACTAAAAAAACAGAGCTGACTAACGGCATCATGACCGTTGAGGCCGCAATCGCACGGACGGGAGAAATGTCGGCGACGTGGACGGTGGTTCCTTCGGGAAACCACCGCGGGCTTGTTTAGGTAAATTCTAAATCCTTGAAAGTTTTCATGTTAAACTCTACACTCCACTGAATATATGCTATAGTAGACTACCAATTCCTAGAGTATCCTTACAGGTGTGTGCTTCACCTGGAGTAGGTGAGGCCCTTACTGGGGAGACGAGACCGCCCACACGCGCAAAGAGCATTCGTATTCCAAATTCGACATCAAAGCATTCGTATTCCGATCCCACATAATTTTTTATACTATTAAGAGCAAAATGTATATCTCATCATATCTACTACTCCCTCCATCCTAAATTGTAAGACGTTTGACTTTTTTGGCCTCAAGTTTGACCACTCGTCTTATTCAAAAAAATTGTGCAAATATAGTCAAATTTAAGTCATTCTCGAAGAATTTTTATTAATAAACCAAACCACGACGAAAGAAGTGATATTTTACACAAATTTTTGAATAAGACGAGTGGTCAAACTTGATGTCAAAAAAGTCAAACGTCTTATAATTTGGGATGGATTGAGTACCACTTAAAAAGTCTGAGGGTGTTTCGTGCACTTGGTGTGCGCGCCTGTGCTAGGCCCCACCACCGTCTGCTACGGTGCATGCCCACATGCATAGTGCTCGCCCACCAGGCAGGCGAGACCGAGCCAGGATACGGTACGTGACTTGATAGCTGGGTTTGGCAATCATGTGCGTGTCCATGTTGGACACGGTTCTATTGTGCAGCCAATAGGAAAGAGGACCAAGGGCTGGTTCGGACTTGGCTTTGGGAAATAAAAGAGGACGAGCGCGGAGCCGAGACCCAGCCACGAATACGGATCTGGATCGGCCTCTAAAACCAAAACCGCTTTGGCTATAAAAAAAGAGTCGCCTCACGCCAAAAAGGTCAAAAAGAAAACAACAACGTCCATCACACTGCACAGCTCGGTATCTTACCTCCCCGAGTGCTGCGGCAAGATCAAACATTAAGATCTTGGTTGTGCCGACTACTGAGAAGGACCTTAATTAACAAGATGAAGAGAAAGAAAAAACTGGCAAATGGTATACTCACGAAGAATATCGTTTATAAAGAGATTCTAACTTTATAAGCGAGGTAATTTCTATCGGCAATACATATTTTACTCCACATGGTCAATAATAATCTAGCTTTATTATATATTAACAACAAAATATATACAAGAAATGGAAGGGAATGACTACTTCACTCATGCCAACTCAATAACTTTAGGATGTTGTTAAGAAGATGTAGAACTTAGGTGTGTCTGATGATACAATTAGAAAATAAGGGATTTCGGTGTCTTGACCTCGCTCCACTCTTTGTGTTTTCCTGGGTTATTCTTCTAATCATAAGGGATTTCGGTGTCTTGACCTCTCTTTCAACCGCATCATCATCTCTCGTCATGTTACCTTTGATGAGACAAATTTTCCCTTTGCCAAGACACCGTCACCCCCCCCCCCCACCACCACCACTAATGATTTTGATTTTTTGGATGAGTTTGAGCCCTCGGTGTGCCTTCCAGGCCTCCTGCTGGCTCCTCCCTTGAGTACCTTGGCGGAGTCAACCCTGGTTCACTCGGTGTCTCGCTTGTTGCCATTGTGACTCCTATCACACCCAGTCTTGATCGAGCCCGTGGACCTAGCAGGTCCTTACCAGCCCCTTCTGCGCCACGCTGCAGCCTCCTCGGCTCCCTCGACGGAACATCACAACGCCCCTGCTGCTGCTCCTACTCCACCGGCTCCCCCTATTGTGCCCCCTGCGCGCACCATCACTCATGTCTACACCCGCGCCACCCAACTCGTGTTCCTCCGATTCTTTCTTGATTACAGGCTGTCACAAGGTACTCCAGCCTACCGCAGATTCAGGCTATCACAAGGTATTCCGGGTGTTTGCTAATTCAGTAAGTCGACACACGGTCCTTGGTTCTTCTTTGTTCCTATTACATTGCCCTAGGGTGCTGTTCCAGTTCATCAAGTGGTGAATCATCACTCCATGACCACTAGAGGGGAACTTGGCTTCCGTCACCCCGCCATCTATCATGCTGCAGCCATCTCTCCCATTCTGAAGACTTATCGGAGTGCTCTTGCTGATCCTAATTGGCGAACGCAATGGAAGAAGAGTATGCGGCTCTTCCGTCCCAAAGAACACATGGGATCTCGTTCCCCACCGTCGGGTGCAAATGTGGTAAGCGGCAAGTGGATTTTTTTTGTCCGAAGTTCAATGCTGATGGCTCCTTTGATCGCTACAAGGCTCGGTGGGTTCTCCGTGGTTTTACCTAACGTCCGAGTGGATTATGATGAGACCTTTAGTCCTGTGGTGAAACCAGCGACGGTCCGCATAATCCTCTCTTTGGCTCTCTCACAAGCGATGGCCTATTCATCAACTGGATGTCAAGAATGCCTTCCTCCATGGCACCCTCTCGAGAGACCGTCTATTGCTGCCAACCCAATTGGATTTATTGACATTGCTCTTCCCGATCATGTTTGCCGCCTCAACAAGTCTCAGATGGTCTCAAGCAGGCACCTCGGCGCTTGGTACAGCCCGGTTTGCCACCTACCTCTTGTCTCTTGGGTTTGTTGAAGCAAAGTCGACACCTCTCTGTTCATTTACCACCGAAGCAATGAGATTGTTTACCTACTACTCTATGTGGATGACATTGTTCGACCGCCTCAGGTGCCTCTCTCCTCCGCGCACTATCACCGCTGCCTTGCAACAAGAATTCTCCATGAAAGACCTTGGTCCTTTGCATCACTTTTGGGCATTTCAATCATGCAACATTCAGGTGGTCTCTTCCGTCACAACAATGAGACACCATTGACATCCTCAAACGTCTTTGGTATGATGGATTGCAAACCGTGTAGCACACTGTGGACACTCATGCTAAAGTTTACGCTCATGAAGGTGCTCCTGCCATCGATCCTACCCACTATCGCGGTCTTACAGAGGAGCCTGCGGTACCTTACTTTCACAAGACCAGACATTTCTTATGTTGTTCAACAAGTATGCCTTCACATGCATGATCCTCATGAACCTCACTTGTCTCCTTTGTTAAGAGGATTCTCCGCTATCTTCAGGGAACTCTCAGCCATGGCTGCACCTTCAGCCCTCCACTCCTTCCGAACTTGTGGTCTATCTTGATGCCGATTGGGCTGGGTGTCCCGACACTCGCCGCTCCACTTCAAGGCTATTTGTGTTTCTTGGCGCCAATCTAGTTTCTTGGTCTTCAAAACGCCAAAACACAGTCTCTCATTCAAGTGTCGAAGCTGAATACCGGGCTGTGACCAATGGAGTTGTTGAAACTTCCTGGCTCCGCCAACTTCTACAGAATTGCATGCTCCATCGCCTCGGAGCACTTTGGTCTCATTGTGACAATGTCGGTCAAAGTATACTTGTCCATCAATCCCGTACAACATCAACGCACGAAGCATGTTGAGATTGATCACCACTTCGTTCGTGAATGGGTCGCCATTGGTGATGTTCGGGTTCTTCACGTACCAACGACGTCCCAGTTTACTGACATCTTCACCAAGGGTCTTCTCACCTCCGTGTTCCAAGATTTTCGCTCCAGACTTCATATTAGCGAGCCCGCCGATTCGACTAGGGGGGGTTAGCATGTTTATCGCTTCCTTTATTACTAGTGACCGCCTAGAAACCTCCCCAGCTGTCACTTACTTGCCTCCCCTCTTACTGCTAATATTTACTTCTCCTTTTGCTGCTAGACGGCTGATGCCTGGGAATCTTCCCTGGCTGTCGCCTGTGTGCTTCCCCCTCTCTCTCTTGTGTTAGTCTAGCTCCTATATAAATCATTGTAATTTGGTTTACTCAATATGAATGAATACAAGAGCTAGTTCATCCTCTGTCACTTTCAATCCAATGGTTGCTGGTACAAATACCTAATACAAATACACAGTAGAGTGACATATTGAGTTATAATCATCTTGTTTTGTGTGGAACCACTTTCAGATATTTTTATTATTGTTTAGCTTTTTTCCCTAAACAATATTGCTACTAGGTTGTTTTCTTGATTATATGAGGGGAAATAGGGAAGTAATAACTATTGGATTACATAATATCTTCTAGTCTCTTGTGTGTTTGCCAGTTAGGTCTGGTTTGAGTTTTTTCCGGAAACTTTGTCTTCAGGATATTTCTCAGCCAGACACTACTGGTTTCTCTAGTTGGTGGTGTTGCTCTCTGAAGTAGGTCGACAAGCAGCACAGAAAGGGCCTGCTTGCCATTCTTGTTGCTTGGGAAATTTGGAAACACATGGATGTGTTCCTTTTTGTGTGTGTGTGTCTGTGTTGGGTGGGGGGGGGCGCCCTAGTGCTAGTGGTACTGTTAGGGCAATAACAGAGGGCTCCGCTCTGTTGTGTGCATCCAGAGCTTTTGAGCTCTTAAGTTTCTCCTTTGGTGGTGTGTTTTTTAGCGCTCGTTGCGTCCTTACGTTTTGATGTTTTGAACTGGTTCTGTACCATATTTTTCTTCTTTAGTGGTATGCAGCTCTCCAGTGTATTTTTGAGAATTAATTTAGTAAACTATAATCTGATTTATCAATTCAGTATGCTGGATCTTACAATGACTTCTTTCCACAGCCATTTTAGCAAACATGCATTGCAGCACAACAATCAGAATTTGGTTAGCAATGAAACAAGTTGGGTCTCATGGACGTGGGCCTAATGCCAGCCACTGCCAGGAGGCATAGGATGTGCATTGTTTTTCTTACTGTTGCATAATTAGAAAATTACTTGTTTATCTCATAATCTGTTAGTTTGTTATTACTCATGATTAGTTGCGTATCTTTATTATTATAAAAAAGTTGCATATGTTTAGTATTCTTTGTTTATGGATATGTTCCTTATTACTCAAGTCTTCCACCATCAAAAAGGATAGGACTGTCGCAATGTATCCTTTATGTTCAAACAATGAAATGACTAACCATCTGCATTCGCTTGTCTAAAGTTTTCTTCATCTATGCCCATCCTCTTCTGTTCTAGTGTCTTGTCCCCTCAATATGCACCCTTCTGCTCCCATTATCCATGATTTTAACCATTCAGCAGCTCAATTTATCATATTTACATGAACACATCAAATTACAGCTTGGTTGGAGCTTGCTTTTTTTCGCATTGCATGCTATAGGCATTCTCTTTGTCTTTATAAAAGCAAAAGTTGAAGTTAACTCTGCAATTGAACTGAACCACACCATGATTATCTTAGCCACATTAGCTCATTTGTAACATTCCTAGGAGTTTATTTGATACCGGTTTGTGTTGTTTGCTACTGATATGTAGATGAGTATTATCTGAGCAACATCTAATGGATTCTATTTGCTTTTCAGTTAGAACAGGCTTGGAAGGACCTGGGCTTTCTGTTTCTCAAAAGATATTTTATTGTATTAGCTTTGTTGGTGGCCAATATATATGGTCACGATTTTTCTGCTTTCCGTCGATGGGGCGATTCTGAACAGGTAACCTGAATCCTTCCTGAAAACTTACAATTCCAATTCACTGGTAGTAGTGTAACTTAATATTAATATTTCTATTTCATGATGTAGAGACCACTAGCACGCCGTGCTTGGGCATTAATGCAGAATGCTGAAGTATTGTATAGGGCTGCTTCATTCTTTAACCTATTATTGTTTCTTTATGGTGGAAGGTACCTTCCTATTCCTGTTTAATTATGGTCCTTTCTTGTATCATGAGGATGGTAGAAATTATTCATGATTATCATGGCTGTAGCAGGTGGCGCCTAGTTTGGCAAAGTTAACTATCTATCTAGAGATTGAATATTGCCAACATGTGCAGCATGTACTGTCCACTGATAGGAAATTGACCAATGACAGTGTATTTGAATGAGCAAGACAGCATAATTTGTGGGAAAATTGAAACCTACTCTTTTTTAATAGATTATCATCATGTTCACTTTTTAATTATTATGAAGTTTATATGACACACACGCTTTTCATCCTTGCTTATTTGTTTATAAAGGTACAAAACTATTGTAGAAAGGATTCTGAAGGCAAGACTTGTTTATGGGGGCCCCAACATGAATAGAGCTGTTAGCTTTGAGTACATGAATGGCCAGCTGGTCTGGAATGAGTTTTCGGTAAATCTCTTTCTTACAGTCCTGTTGTTAATCTAAAAAGTTTCTATCTTATGCAATTATTGATTTTACAGTTTGATCTGTGCTTTTGATTGCATATATACTGATATAATGAAACCTTTCTAGCCAATGTGGATCACATATATTCTTGATAGATCATACACCTATCTGGTCTCTGAATAATTGGTTCTCTGATATCCTCCAATATCTGACATCGTAGATTGCATGTGTTTGTGTATGACACTAAATCTAGTTTGTATTCACTCCAGCCAGATTCTAGGATGCAAACATGGGAGGTAGTGGATACCTTAATTGCATCTGTTTCTATTCCAGATGGAAAAGATCTCTATGATAAATCCTTGGAATGATATTTTTACCAAGTCAAAAATGTCGCATTGTTATCATGATTCAAATGCAGCTTGCATGACTCTGGTGTCATAATATATCCTATATGATAAATTCCTTGTAGTCTGATTCTGTTGATTTGATCTATGTTCAGTGAAATGCACTCAGGACTATCTAGTTTGATACTTGATAATAACGGATTGGTAATGTGATTCTTAATAGAGTGCACTGGGGGCTGCTGTGCAGGTTTCTTTAGGTGTTTCTGAGATTGTCCACAAATACATGGTGTGGGATTTTGGTATAACTGAAAACCCTGAAATGTGCTATTTAAGGATAAACAAAATGAAATTTTCCTCTATGATGCATCTGAAAACTTGGACACGTACGGGTGAGTTATCTAATGTACAAGATCATAACATTTGCCTAATAGAATGTAAGTAAACATGGGCTGGGGTTATTCTGATCATCTGATGAATGACAAGTAAATAAAGTTAAAAATCAATGGATTTATCTCTACTCTTTAAGCTCAAGTTTTATTCAGTCTGAAATTTGATCACGTTCTCGAGAAACTTACTGTGAAGCACACTCGAGATTAGTCTTATGGGCTATGGCCATTGCTGATACTGTACTCTGGGGAACTCTGTTGTCACTTAGGAGTGTATTTTCCCTGTGTTTAAATTGGTGTTTGTGCTAGTGTCTCAAGACTTTATTCTGATGTCCTGCCAGTAGATTTAGTTCTTGGAATCTTGAACTTGAAGTGGTTCCTCACACCGCTTAATTGTGCAGGAAATGTTGCTTTTGCTTCTTCCCCGCCTAAACTCATCCTCAGTAAAGAAGTTCCTTCTCCCCTTCTCCAAAGATAAGTCGGCAGGTTCTTCTGGTGATGAAGCAGACTGTCCTATATGTCGGTCCAGTCCTAGCATTCCATTTATTGCTCTTCCATGTCAACACAGGTATGTCGTTTCTTTCTGTGCTCCGCCTGTCATATATCTCCCTTTGTGGTATACTCCCTTCGTAGATTCCATCCTACATTTTGCAGAACAAAGAAGCACGTTAGAAAAGCCATGTTCTTATAGCCCTTAGTAGATTAAGGGCACGTTTGGTTCCCAAGTGATCCCTCGCCTTGCCTTGCTCGGCCAGAAAGCGTTTGGATTGCATGTGAGACTATCTCGGGGTCTGCACCGGCAAGGATTTCCTTGCTCACGAGGGAGAGCGAGTTTAGCTCGCCTGCACTGGAAAGACTTGCCTTGCTGGGCGAGGTGAGGCAAGCAGAACCGGCAAGAGAACCAAACTTTCCCTAACATCTGGGATGGTGTTTATTACTCTAGTTCACTGTAGTAGTCTAGTATATAGCCTTGGAAACATCTATGATCATTCAATGAGAAAGACATATATAAGGAAAAGCAGTTGCATAGTCATCTCCAAATTGTAGACTGTAGGATCATTTCCTGGTTTTCTAGGCAACTGCTATAATCATAATTCACTTGAATATCTATTCCTTTTTTTATAGGAAAACCCTGCTTTTAGAGAAAGCATAATGAAAATATCTATTTTTTCTGAAAAAGAACAGAGCGTGAAAAGTCATACTTTTTGTATTAGTTCTACACATGCTAGGTGAATATGCTATATAGCTAGTTTGTATGTTTGTTCCGATAAGATGGTTTCAAAGCGACTTAATGTCTTGACTGTTATAGTATCTAAGCTTTGTTGTGTTGAAATTTTCCTCAGACAAATTCTCTGTTGTTTTCAGGTATTGCTACTATTGCCTACGCACGCGTTGTTCTGCTACAAATTCCTATAGATGCACACGTTGTAACAAGGTGGTTGTTGCAATTCAAAGATTAGGATCAGGTTAGTTTGCTAGTTGGGTTAAAGATAAATAATTCTCGCCCGTGTCTACAGAGAAGCAGCACTTTGGTCTTTCATTGCTCCGTTCGTTTGGCTGATAAGCCATGGCTGAAAGTACTGTTGGCTGATTTATTGTGAGAGAAAAATAATGTTCATTGACTGAAAAAGTACGGCTTATAAGTCAAGCGAAGTTTCAATGCTCCATCGAGGATGGGCATCATGAAATGTACATGTAATTGCCCCAAGTGTGGACAGTTTTGATACCATGAATTACTTGTTGTATATTGAATGAATGTCTGTCACAGACCGGATTCACTACGAACTCATGAGGATTTCTCTACTACTAATCATGATATATGTTTTGTTTGAATGAATGTCTTTTCAATATGTGTTTAATTGAAACCTTTGCTTCGGTTATGTTGACTCTGAGTGCAGGCCATATGTTGTGATGTCATAAATCTACATTTTAGTTTTTAATTTTTTGAACTAATTATTTGTGATTTCTAATCCAGATGTTAAAATGTAGTGTTTGTTACACCTTTTTATTCAAAATGCTTCCTTTTTATTTCATTAAAACAAATGATTCTAGGACCAAGGCTGCGCTATTTAGTCTAAGTCACAATTGCAAAAATAATTGCTTCAGCCTGCACTACAGTGCGCAAGATGTCGATATTTCTCTATCAAAGAATTGTGTATGTTGTAATATATTTTTAGAATAATAGTGATTATATTTATGTAGATATGTTATAATGTTTTTAGTCATAAATCGTTTTCTATAAAGTAGCAATTTACTGATTTGTTGTGCTAAACTATTAATATAATTTAGGTACGTGCTTCTTCTAGGTTACATTTATCATGGATGCTAAACTATAGAAATATATATGTATTGCTCATTCATGTATGTATATTTGGTATGCTTGGTGTGGCATTCAATGTGTATACGTACGTGGAGTTAGTTTTTATATAATTATAGTGATATAACTTGGTAATTTAGAAACAATACTTATACATATTTTATGGTTAAGTTTTTTGAGATAGTAGATGTTGGCAATTTAGATATAGATTTGTGGGCATATTTAGTTTATTTTTTAAAAAAGTAGATATGATTAATTTGGATGGAAACTTTAGGCGTTACTTAGATTATTTTTGTTTAAAAGACATGATAATTCACATGCAAAAGCTGAGGTTGCTCAACATTATGAAAGATCCACGAGCGGTCTTTAAACATGCACAATGATGTCATCCGGGTCTGCAACATTTGGATTCTAATATTTGAGCCCTTGAATTCCTATGGTGGTGTCATCTGGGACCCAACTCTTGACTAAACTTGTACCACACTGTCGTCTATGTTCTCGAACTTGTCTCAGATGCCAGCATTGGTCTAAACTGGCTCTAAACTTGACTAAAGATAGCGCTTTATTTCAAATCCAGAGACCCAAACATCAAAATTTAAGGGCTAGGGGCCGAATAACACTACAATGTTAAGTTTAGGGACCGCTAGTGAATTTTATGAATAATATTATTTTTCAGAATGATTTTTTTTATTATTATCACTACTACATAAATGTTTACCGAGGCAGGCAAAAAGCCTTAATCGAGACGATTTTTGCAACGGCCTCGGTGGAAAGGTCACGGTAAATGGGATATTTTCCGAGGCGGTACGATGCCCTCCTCGGTAATTTGATTAAAAAAACAAAAAAGAAAAAGAAAAAGCCTAGATCCAGCCCTAATCGGGCCTGGATCTGGGCCAGGCTCTGCCGCCCCTGCGTGGGGCCATCGTCGGGGGAGCCGTGACCCACCGCGCTCCGCGTCCACGCTCGCGCCGGCAGCTCGCCGCGCGCCCGCAGCCGCCTCGTCTGTGCCAGCACCGTCACGCCCTCTATCTGCGCCGCCACGACCTCGATCTGCGCCGCCCGGCCCTGGATCCACGCCACTGGAGGAGCTTGAGGGAGTGGGAGGACCTCCTCGCCCAGATCCACACTGCCGGAGGAGACAGAGGAGCTCCTCGGTCCCCGCGCCGTCGCCGGAGGGAGGAGAGAAGGGGCTCCCCGGGTCGCCACCGGATCCGGCGTCCCCGCGCCGCACCGTCGCCGGAGGGAGGAGAGGGGGGCTCGATCCCCCGCGCCGCCACCAGATCTGGCTGGGGGAGGGCAGGAGCGCCATCGGATCTCGCCTCCCACCGCCGGATCTCGCCTCCTGTCGCATCACCTGCCTCGAGCCGCGAAGGGCGCGGCTGCAACCCTCACCACCGCGCCACCATGAGGCGGTCATTTTTTATTAACCGAGGCGGGCATTTTAAGGTGCCCGCCTCGGTTAATCGATTTTGCAAGGCGGTTGTTGTAACCGCCTCGGTTAATAAAAAATGACCGCCTCGATTAACGCTAGGCATTAACCGAGGCCGTTGAAAATCCTGTCTGCCTCGGAGCCCAATTTCAAAACGCCTCACAAAATCTTTTGTGTAGTAGTGTATTTTACAAATTAAAATGTAGCTTTGTTAGGGTTACTTTATGTCTTTTTCTATAACGGTAGAGGTTGATATTTTTTTAAAAATGGAATACATTAATGCCTCTTATTATCAATATTAATGATGATTGGATGTTTTTTTTTTTGAGAGAGTTTTTAAATTTTATCTTTTTCTTGGCGTTGCCGCCTCTTATTAATAACATTATTATAAGTTTTACTTATATTAATTTGATAGCTACGGCGTGAGCGACAGGGGAACGAACCCACACAAAATCCAATTAGGTTGCTGCCTGGACGTGTCTGAATTAAACCCTGTCTGTCTGTTAAATGTGACAGGGACTGTGCACCTGAGTGCGTTGGGATGTGCTTGCTAGCTGCATTAGGGTGGCTGGGTGGGTGGCATGTCTCCTTGCAGGACCTGCCTGTCCAACGCATTAGCTGCTACCTATATCTATCTAACTAGCTGTACTACCAGCACCAATTAGCTTTTCTTTTCCTTTAATCTTTTTCATGGCCTGCTTTCTGATGATAGCTGAACTAATATAATCAGGCTTTGTTTTGGATTGCGATGCCATTTTTGAAACTATTTTTAGTTTTAGGATACAGTGGTATTTTTGAAACTCAAGTATATATATCAGTGATACATATATGTCGATATATGATACCTGTAATAATCAACCAGAAGTCAGCTAGCTAATCACAGCTTCAGCTTACATTTCAGTAAAGTATAAGCAATAATACAACAATGTGCATTATTTTCAGTGAAGTTTGGCTCAATCACAAGA